GAGGAGGAGGAGGAGGAGGAGGAGGAGGAAGCAGAGAGGGCCCAGGAGGAGCTGCCCAGCGTGGAAGAGCTGCCCCTCCCAGTGGGCTCCCAGAGGATCCTGACCCGGCTGTCGGAGGACACGCTGACCAAGATGAGGGTAGAAGTCAAGGCCAGGATGATGGAGGAACTGAAGGCCAGAGCTTTGCACGAGGCCCTGGGAAGCGTCAGGGAGATTGCCCTGGCTGAAGCCCACCAGGCGGCTCTGGCCGAGGCCAAAGAACGGGCATTGCTCAGGGCCCAAAAGAAGGCCCTGGCGGAAGCTTGGGAGAAGGTGCTGGTGGAAGCCCAGCAGACGGTGATGGAGGAGGCGATGGAGAGGGCGCTGGAGGAGGCGAAAAAGATCGTCCAGGCCGAGGGACTGGAGGGGGACGTGGCGGAGGAAAGGCTGCAGGAACTGGTGCCGGTAATAGCTGAGCAACTGGCCAAGGAAAGAGCCTTGGAGTTGGCCATGTCGGCCAAAGTAGAGGTGGACGAGGCCAGAGTTCTGGAGCTGGCGGAGGAAGAGCCGATAGAAATAGACGAGGCGAGACTTCTGGAATTGGCTGAAGAAAGAGCCCAAGAACTGGCTGAGATCAGGGCCCGGGAACTGGCTGAAGCCGCCATGCTGGAGATGCCAGAGGAAAGGCTCCTGGAGCTGGTGGAGGTAAGAGCCCAGCTGCTGGCCCAGGCAAAGCTAATGGAGACGCAGCTGGAGCAGGAAGAGGAGGAGTGGGCCGAGAAAAGGGCCCCCTTCTTTGATAAAGAGAAGGTGGGCTTCCCGGAGACCGTGGACGATGAGAGCATTTGGCTCCTCTCCGACGATGAAAGAGAAGCTTTGGTGACCCTGTGGGAGATGGGCCAGGCTCCGGAGGCCGAGGCTGAGCCGACCGAGCAGGCCCAGCTGCTCCTGGAACTCCTGACTCAGCCAGAAAAGCTGCAGAGGAGGGATTCCGCCGCCTTCCAGACCCTCTTCCGCCTGGTGTCCCTGGTCGAGGTCCCCTCAACGGCACGCCTGCAGGAGACGGCTGATGCTGTGCTCCAAAAAGCCGAGGACCTGCTCAAGGAGGCTGAGCAGAGGCAGGAGCCCTTGTCAGAAGAACAGCAGTCTGTGCTCGGGCAGCTCAGGGAGGTGGTGGAGGCCCACAAGCCCTGGAATGCCAGCCCCAGGCAATATGGCGCCCGGATGAAGAAGCTCTTCAAGTCCGTCCAGGCTGTGCTGCGGGCCAGGAACCTAAAGCAGCGGCTGACCAACAATGCCTGGCTGCAGGCTTGGCAGCAGAAGGCGGAGAAGGCCTGGGCTCAGGAGGAGCGCCGGGAAGAGCGCTGGAAGGAGCGCTGGGAGGAGC